AGACTTCTTCAAGTGGTCAAATGTGTGGTTAAGTGACTAAAGTAAAATAGAAATTTTAGTTTTTTACAATGGTAATTCCATCACTCATTTAAGTCAATGTGTTTCCCATAAAGTATGATTTCTATTAACTTTTAGAGTTATTTCCTTGACAGTTTGCTAGACTTGGGTATGCATCAACGAGGACGTCGATCTTCCCTAAGGGGGGGAGAGTGTCATAAATGTGACTTCGGGTATCGAAAGATACTTGTTAGCCAATCCTTACAAACACTCTTTCTTTACTACCATGACAGCAAAAGGTTAGTATAGTTGGATCCCATTAGAAGCCCCTTTTGTGCTAGTGGAGTTAATTGGGCATTTCGAATGTACTTAGACTAAAAAAACATAAGGATGGAATTCCTACGTGCTATTAATTAAACATACTTATTTTGGTAAGGAGTTCTTGTCTCATTATATTTTACACTGGCTAGTGACAAGAATCCCTATATATTGAGATTAATCCCTCAATATCATCAAATGATAGCTTACCGTGTCTACTAAACACATTTGCTATCATGCCCTAAATGTTGGTCCCATTTAGTCTTAATTACTATTTAAGATTTGCCACTCCATAAATAATAAGTTTCAAACTTATCCCAAAAACTAACTCCTGGTACAGGGAGGCTAGGGGTGAAAGTCTAAAGTATGTGTTCCTCAAAGGGGAGATTCCAAATGTATAGTAGGGATAGTGGCTAGAATACATGTTCGACCATTTGAGATATTAGTTTAGCTTCTGTTTAGTGTTGACTAAATCCATATTTGGTGTCAACTAAATCGATATCTTGCAGTTCTACAATCTGAGCAGGAGTTGATAATCCCCCAGTCTGTGCTACCACGATTCATAGAAATATTAGCTTGGACAATATTCAATACCTCTCTTGATGGAAGCATGTTATATACATGCTTCCAATTGGGATCATAAGCCTCATGTACTTGTATAGCATTGGTCTCGAAATTCCAAGGTAAGTTGCAAGGTAATTAGTAGTTTTAGTCTAGAGAATTCAAGTAACAAAATTAATTAGACTTCCAAAGCCTCGCAACTATACAAATTTAGTACACAATTAGTATGACAATAGATAATTTAACTTACCTCAAAAACATCTCTATCCTCAATGGTCTCACTCTCAACACTTGATTTATCAGAAACATTAATGCCATGATATACAACACTATGTTCTTCATCCTCCATTAGACTTGCTTCTCCAATTAGATAAGGAAAAGCCTACATAAATCAGGTGGTTCCACACACACCATTAGGAAATACTTTAGGCCAAAACAGTTTCAACATTGCAACCGAAAAAATAAATGATCTACAAACAGGAAATAGACTTCACCTCCTACCAGAAAAACTGCCAGTTGAATCCTGTCTTGGGTAGCAACATTAGAGACCAGGACAAGCTACCAACCCTAAGTTAACAAGTCAAAGTTATGCCAATGAATGAATGGTCCATGCATACGTGTGTATGAGTGATAATGGAAACATGCCATGGCCATCCGATGGGCATATTATGGCCATAAAATTATAGACGAATTGGAAGACAACATGTCAGTTTTTGCATATGATCATCCACACACAATTTATAAATTGAACACCATAACTTCCTCTTTTTTTAACCGATGCTACATTAGCCCTTTGATTCTACCTGAGGTAGATAGTTCAAGCCTCTCTCACCCCATGTTTATCCCAATAAGTTTGCAATTTTATTTAAATCAGATTTAAAATCACAATTCATTTTGTGCCTCCAATTTGGTTAGTTCTTGATGCAGTGGTCCTTTGCTCCATTTCCAGCCAAACTGGCATTGGTGGCACTTGTTGTTGTACCAGTACCAGTTTCTCAGGCAACTCACGCATTTGCTTCCACTCCACTTCCATCTGGAGAGGCATCGGTGGCAATCGCTGCTATACCAGTACCAGTCTTTGGGACACTGGATGCACTTATGGCCGTCCCAGTTCCATCCAGATTTTGCATTGCCAGTGGGCTGTTGCGTTGGTGGTCCCACTGACGTCCACTCCAACCAGGAGGATTGTCACAAACATGGCCAGAAGCATCAGCTGGGACTTGCTCGCCATTGTATTGTCAATTTAGCAATATAAACTAATTTCTTTTCTTGTATCCCTTCTTTGCTTTGCTGTATTATGGTGCCAATTTATATGGAGGATTTGAGGCTGAGTCTAAGTAACAATGCTATGTACACGGTTTTTACTGCTTCTCGGGCATGATATGTCGTGTTTGATTGACGGGGTCAAGAAACAAGTGTACGACTTTATCCAGATGAAACAACCTCGAGTTTCGTTGTGAAATTATCAAAAATATCCCGGTGACTATAAAAATGTTTATCTATCTATCTATCTCGTTGCGATCAATCACTATTTTATATGAATTGCCTCATATGCATTAAAAAATATGATAATGTTTTCAAAAGTGAACGCACTTATTGATATGGTGGAGAAAAGGCCTCCAAGCTTCTAAACATTCCGAAAAAACTTTATGAAATATTAGAAAATGAAACTCAAGCAGCAAGGCAGGATGAAATCTCTTCCGATCCTGCCAAGGAAATGGGACTTCCGCTACCATAGAATGGACGACACAGTTTATTTACCAAAAGGTTATTACAATTGGCTATTATACAAGTTTCAGCATGGAAATGATGGGCAATTCAGTTCTTACAGAACCTTCCAGTCCAGTGCCAGCCCCTTTTCGCATCGGTGGCAACCGATGTCATACCAGTGCCAACAGAGCAGTGGTGGCAAGAACTGGTATACCAGAACCAGTACTCCGGGCATCGGTGGCAGGAATTGTTGTACCAGAGACGCACTTCTTCCTAATCGTATCCCAGTGCCACCCCGACTTGCATTCCCACGTCAGGGCGCTTGCATTTGCAATGCCTCCCACCAGGAGCACCGCCTCACGCACTTCTTGTTGCTCGCCATTTTCTTAAAACTCTCCTCTTGCCTCTGTCTCGACTTGCAAACGATAAGAAACTTTGAGTGCTAATCCTGTAAGACGTGGTCACCGCCTAGAACTGTAAATCCTCCCATCCAACACTTCAAGCTTCTTCAAGTTAGTTCAGGGCTACTCATTGACAATATCTACGTTAAAAAAAGCTGTGATACAATGTGGCCTTGGCTTGGACTGGGTACCGATTGATCCAGATTTGGTCCTTGCGTTTGAGACAACACAATCCTGTGGGGAAGGATGGAAACCAAGTGAACTAGAAAATTCACGTAAACTTTTCTTGAAGTTTACCTCAAACAATGTCGAAAAGATGACATAAACACTTCTCTAGTAGCTTCTCTTGTACTAAAGCCTTCCTTTGTGTTCGTGGAGTATCTTGGCTGGAAGTAAAAATTAGTCGTAGAATGCAGCTAATTATTCACGCAGGATAAATAAAGGTTAGAAAGAAAGAAAGCAGGGCAGTCTGAGGTCGGGAGTTCGAGCATCTCTCACATCTTTCATATACTTTCATAACCAAATGGACATTTGGTCACAATTATTTTGTGACGATCCATTAAATATTGGATTCCAACTTGGTCAGTTCTTGATGCAATGGTCCTTGCTCCATTTCCAGCCAAATTGGCATTGGTGGCACTTGTTGTTGTACCAGTACCAGTTGCTTGGGCAACTCATGCATTTGCTTCCACTCCACTTCCAACCGTAGAGACATTGGTGGCTATACCAGTACCAGCCTTTGGGACACTGGATGCACTTGTGGCCGTCCCAGTTCCAGCCAGATTTGCATTTCTGCTGGGCTGCTGCACTTGCGATTCCACCAACGTCCACTCCAACCAGGAGAATTGTCACAAACATGGCCAGAAGCATCAGCTGGGACTTGATCGCCATTGTATCGTCAATAGAAATGCAAACTGATTGCTTTTCTTGTATCTCTTCTTTCACTTGATGCTGGGTTATGGTGTTGCCAATGTGGGACCAATTTATATGGAGGATTTGAGGCTGAGTAAGACGGCTATGCACACGGTTTTTACTGCGTCTCCGGGACGACATGTCGTGTTTGTGCTTGATTGACGGGGTCAATCCAGATGAAACAGTCTCTATTTAAGTCCCGTGAAATCATCAAAAGACAATGCATTAAAAAATATGATAATATTTTTAAAAGTAAATAGCTAGAAACTGCAAGAAATTTATGAACCGTAATTTCTTAAAGTCCACTCATACTTGTGGCCAAACTAAGAAGCATGATTCACATTTCCCTCTCATCTCTTGTCTCGAGTATGAAACTCAGCAGCGCAAGACTTCGGTATTTCGACAATCTTGCTGCTCGAGTTGCTAGAAACTAAAAGTGAAATTGGCAGCAAGTCTCTCGTCAAGTGGATTCTGGATGAGGAAACCGAGCCTTAGAATGGGATGTCATGGAAAGAAAAGCACACACATTTTATTCACCAAAAGGTTATCACAAGAAACAGCACAACCACAATATTTATTGTCGTCGACATATTACATAAGCTTGGATCTTGATGGGCAACTTCAGTTCTTCTTGCAGGAACTTCCAGTCCAGTGCGAGCCCATCTTGCAGCGGTGGCAAGAATTGTTGTACCAGTACCAGTTTGGCGGGCAATAGACGCACTTCTTCCCATCCCAGTGCCCCCCCGGCTTGCATCGCCCCTGGGCGCTCGCACTTGCAATTCCTCCAATGTCAACTCCCACCAGGAGCACCACCACAAGCATCGCCAGCAGCATCTTGTTGCTCGCCATCTTTTTTAAGAACGCCTCTTGCTTTGATGTGATCCCAGACTTGTGAACGAGATCGGAGAAAGCTAGAGAAACTTGGAGGAGCTTGAATGTGAGCTTTGATGTGCTTGAGTATGGAGTGGGAGGATCTATAGTGCAGGAGAGCGTGTTATAGTTCCGGATAACTCGCTGACTTTTTCGACGTTGAAAAGTAAAATGTCAAGCCGCGCGGATACGGATGTAGATCTTCGACCGTGTCAAGCGCGAAGTCAGACGTTTTGGGTATTTGTGCTTTCATTGTAGTAAAAAACATTAATGTTTTACAACGTCTGGAGTAAAATGGGTTTGCCAAAACATAATTCTTGCAAATGCTATGCTTGAGAATCTTTTAGATTCATGACTAATGGGGAATGTTATTGAATGAATTTCTTCCGCTTTTAATAAGCTCAGCTCCCAGACTGCATTTTTACCTGGATTTGCCTGTGCACGTAGACAAGGAACTCCACATAAGACGAGCCCAGCCCGCTCTTGTCTTCGATCATGAAGGAGTGGAACATCATCTCTGTAACAAAACCGAATGAGCAAGAGTGCCTCGAAAAAGAAAAAAATGAGAGTGTTTGATCACCTAAAGGATCTCCCCGCTTCAGCAAATGCAACCTAGAATAGCAAGCATCCGCATTAGAAAGACTAGTGAGAGTTTTATTTTATCGAAACATACCGCAGGTAAGAGCAGCGTTGGCGACGGATCTCGTTCACCATCTTGTTCAGCAAAATTGATGGCTCGTTATCGTACTCTTGCAACAAAAACTGCAAAAGAGAAGAGTAAGAAAATTACGAGTCATACGAGCGAGGGAATGAAGTACCTGTCCGGGAATCACTTCGTTCACAGACCGCACTTCAAAGAGTTGATGAAGGAGCTCAGAGGAGACAGCCTTCCCTGCGTATAGAAAAGCGTCCTCACCGGTCTCCAAAAGAAAGATTCCTTCTGGGTCCAGGTTCTCGCTTGATAGAGGAAGCGTCGGTGGTAGACTCGACTCGTCCAGCTATGCAAAACGCGCCTTTAATCAGAGTACCAAAGAGATAACTAGTACCTTTGGTATGTTGTGGACGGAAAATAGTCTGGGATACACCAACGGTATCGCGAGGGATGCCGAGATGCTTGTAGCTCGCATAAGCCAGTAAGCTCGTTCATCAACACGAACATCTTGCCGGAGACCCACGCTCTTTGTAAGAGCTGTAAAGAAGGAAACGAGATTGTGAAAAGTTAAAAAAACAAACGAAACGAAACTTACCGAGTGTATATAGCGGTAGCAGCTTAAGGCATTCGGGCAAGATAAGCTGGCCCGAAGAAGATGCAGTTGCGCAAAACTTTCTATACGAAAACAAGCTCTGAACGCACTGTCCAATGGTTTGCTCCCTAACTTGCGAAAGAGGGGAGACAGGCACGCCTTGAGCAGCTGTATCAAAGGCAATTTCAGAACCTTGAACGAAAATCACACAGATTACTTACCAGTTTTCAAAAGATAAGTGAACTGTGCATCTAGATCCGCGCCTTTGAAAAGGTTGCTCAGAACGTTCGTGCAGGTAAGTGATAGTGTACTAACTCTGATACGTCTATGCCCATCGACCGTGGTGTAGAGTAACGCCGACTACAAAAGCATTAGACAAGTTTGGCAATAGTCAGAACAGGCAATAGCATTATGTAAATGCAAGCGCACCTGAAAACAACAGTCCGCTCCTTCTTGGAATTTGTCTTCGTGCTTGAACGTGACCAGAATAGATTTATCACAATCAATCTAGAAAAACACACTGCATTACAGGAGCTTAGTTCCATGTAGATCAATTACCGCAGGAAGATCGACATCAGTGGTAACCCGTTTACAGCTGCCAAAGTAGTCCTGGACTTTGATTCCCTACAAGAGAGATTCACACAGGTTCTAACCAGTTCATGTCTTTTACCTGACTACATCGCACACGCATCACGGCTTCAAGTCCTTGAGGTCTGGTTAAGTTCCATCGTAAATCATTATACAACTTAGCTGAATCCATGGTAGCAGAGAAGGGAAAATAATAATAAGCCTGAAACGATGTCAGTCGGACAAAAGTAAGGAGATTGACAGTAACATACTTGACCTCCAGTTGTGATGGGCACAACTGAAAGTGATGCTATATCGACGTATGTTTGGGTTGTCAAAAACAAGTCCACGCAAACCTGCATGATCGAAAGCTTACATGTTGCAGGGACAAACCTAGTTGCTTGGTACCTGGGACGAAGAAAACTCCTCTGCCATGGCTTTCAAAGTTTTATCTGCAGGTTGTAACACCTTGTGCGCTTCCTAAGAATAAAACAATAGAGTCACATGCCAAACAAGTAAATCTCCATACCGCAGATTTGTCTCGCGCCTCTGCCTCCCTTGGGGTTAAAGCTCCAAGGCCAATAGATGGTAAAACTGCAAAGCCCATTTAAGAACGTTCGAAACAAAAGCTTTAGTCCATAGTACCTGATTGGAAAACTAAGAGCTTTCCCCCAGTAGGTTTCAAAGCCAGAAATGACCCCTGCAACAGAATAACACCTTGTATCAAGGTATCTAACTTAAAGCCCAAGCACCTTCATTGCTGCACCAAGAGCTGATTCCTGAACCACGTTGTCATGAAACATGTTGGGTATGTTCTCCAAAAGAGTTTCCATGTGCTCGCGGCCCTTCAATCATCAAAGATGAATACAGAAACTAGAAAGGTCAACTACAAACCTCAGCGACAGGAACCACAAGTCCGTTTTCAACTGGAACATATACGTCTTGTATGTCTGGCACTACGAGCATGGATGGCTGTCGATATCGACTTAGGAAGGATTTGAATAAAAAGAGAACATTATCTAAACCTGTTGCAGGTCTTTACTCAAATTGTAGAAGTGTATAGTTGAATCAAACGTTGCAACTCCAACCATTGTCCTAGGACCTTCCTGAACGTAAAGCAAAATCTTGAATGATTCAAGTAGCACAAAAAACTATGCACCGAGCTTACTGCAATATCCGCCAGAACTCTCTGAATAGCACTGCAAGCTGCGGCGGCCGCTCCCGTCTTGATAGCATTAGCTGAGACATCCACCAGAAAGAAGAACACTGGTGGCATTGGAGGTCGAAGCTACAAAATTTATTTTAACTCTTACGACTGTCTGTATATTGCTAATACGTACCAAATACTCTTGGGTTGCAACGAACTCGACTGTTCCACGAGAGAGTTCAGGCCTGTCGTCAGCGTCTCTCCTTCGTCCATCCGGTCCGAGGTTGCAAACGTAATCTCGCGGAGTTTCGTTTGTGTGTCCTGTTGATGTAGCACGTTAGATTTCATGCTTGCATAGAAAACATCTTACCACAAATATTGCAAACAAAACGGCGTCCTTGGTCGATAAACTTCATAAAGGAATTAATGTATGCTTTACATCTATTGCACCGAACTGGCCCACTTTCTCCAAAGTCAACAACCTGCCAAGCATTTGAGCTACCAAAAACAACAATCTTTGCTTCTCTTGAGTACCTTGATAGGCTCTTCATTCACGTGAGGGAGGGCGAGTGGCTGAATTATCAGAGCCAGAGGCATTTTCGAGGTGTTTAGCAAATCCGCGGTGCATGGAACCTAAGTTTCTCACAATCAGAACACCAAAAACACCAGTGTTTACCACCTTACCTGATAAAGAGTGCTTCGCATAATCCTTGGGCTACAGTTTCCGGCATCTCTCACGTAAAAATCACTCGTCGAAGACTGCATCGAAGGAAAAAGTTATAAAAGGAGGAACACAAGAGTTTTCGCAGACTTACCGGAGGAATTGGACCGCTAGAAACTGTATCATAAACGGACGTAGCGAAGCTCGGCTGGGGGCGGGGAATTTGCGATGGATCAATGCGTTGCGAAGGAGTCGTAGAGGGAGAGCCAGGCTGCTGTAAATTATCTCCAATCTAGCAACAGAGAAAACAAGCATTAGAGAGCTCTCTCCAAAAAGCCCGATACTCACAGAGGGTCTCCAATTCTGGCCAGGAGGAGGCGGCATTTGCGAGTAACCAGGCCCTGGCGGCCGGCTTAGAAACTGTGGAGGCTGGAGAGGAGGTCCTTGCATCTGTAGAGGCTGTGGAGGAGCTTGAGGATGGCTCTGGAATGGCTGCGGCGGCTGTCCCTGGATCGAGGAGGGGTGGCTCTGGAAAGATGGAGGCCCCTGGATTGAGCTCTGGAACGATGGAGGAGGGCCCTGGAACTGGGGAGGCCCTTGGATCGACGCCGACTGGCTCTGGAATGGCGCCGGCATGCCTGAATTCGCCTGGAAGCTCGAAATTTCCTGTCCTGATCCCACTCCCGGGCCCTGGAATGGACGAGAAGGCGGCGCCATACCTTGGAATGGAGGCGGAGGTCGCAGAGATCCGCCATACTGTGGCCGAAAACCTACCATGCCCGGCTGATTCGACGCGCCATACTGTGGCACTGGCGTAGCTCCAGCTCCGGGAGGAGGAGCAGCGGCCTGAGATCCCGGCAGCGGCGGTGGCGGCGCAGATCCATACGGTGGCGGCCGGATGAAGGATCCATCGGGGGGAGCTTGCGGCGGCATAGATCCATACTGTGGAGGGAATCCGCCGGGCCGGATCGGGGCTCCATACTGCGGTACCTGGGAGCTCATTTGATCTGCGCTTCCAGAGGAAAACCCTAAAACAGAGGACTATACAATGGTTGCCCTAAAAAGGGCGATTTTCGATTGGAGTAACGATGAACGCTTAGAACGAACTTAGAAACGGGACTAGAAAACTTCCAGCGCTAGAAAACTCCATGGAACTTTGTGCCTGACTTGTAGCAAAGCTGACTTTACCAGCACGGAAGGACGAGCGTGGCAATTCTCCCGAATCGGCGCTAGCAGCGAGAGTACAAGATCCACAGCTCCAGGGAGTCCTCGAGATCACCTTGCCGTGATCTGGGACGAGATCTTCTGGAAGAAGCCGAAGTGACTGAAAGTCACAGGCTTTCTCGATTTGCCTAGTCGTGCTTGCGAGGACTGAGGAGGAACGCTGGTGAAGTTAAGTTTCTCGAGCGTGGACAGGCTTTGCTCTTGGGAGCCGGGACGATACTTTCGAATCGAGGACACGAACCAGGAGAGACGTCATCGACAGAAATTCGAGCAACATCTTCAACAGCTTGAAGTAGCAACGAGCAGCTTGCAGTAGATCCTGGGAAAAAAAAAAGAATCCGGTAAGAGAAGATACATCTGATAATACATCTGGAGGATACGAACGTCATCGACAGGAATGAACAGCTTGACGTTGCAACGAACAGTTTACTCCTGAGGTAGATCCTGCAAAAAACTAGAATCTGGTAAGAGAAAATACATGTGAATTCAACCAACCTTTTGTGCGATCTATTTTACTTCTTGAGAAAGTCTGTAAAAAATTTGATTTTCCGGGACGGCGACTTTCTCCTGGCGCTGCCACTGTCAAACTTGGCAGCACCCCAACCGCGAACTCTCTTTTTCGGCAGCATTAAATCTGCTGGCGTGCCATCAATGTCGACAATGGTGAGTACCTCTCTGAATTTCCCTCCAGGCGTGGCTAGCAGTCTCTCCTCCCAGGGTATGGCGTTCTCGTTCCTCCTCCATCGATTTGTATCGATGTCTATCACCAGCTTGTCCGTGGTGAATCCGTAATCTCTCCCGTACAATGGTCTTGATGGCGATTCCTCGTACCATTCCACAGGTTCTCCCTGGAAAAAGTCGTGCTTCAGAAAAACAAAAAGACAAAAAAAGAAGAAGAACGTAAGAGTACCTCTGTTCTTGGACAAAGTTGACAATGCGTCATCGCAAGTCGCTCGTTCATGCGTCTCATCTTCTCGGCCGCCATTTTTTCCGATGGAAGTGGAGTGTCTGCGTAGAGCGCATCCTCCTCGGGCCTCCAAAGTTGGAGCTTGATCCCATCCTCGACGCAAACTCCAGCCTTTTCCAGCTCTTTGACGATCGCGCTGCGCCTTTCCAATCCCTGCCGGGACAGAAAGATGACGGGGTTGGATCCCTGTTGCTTCATCAGCTCTACTTCCACCCCGTGCTTCACAGCGGCCGACTCGATCCACGCTTTTGTTTTGGCGAATCTGTGCGAAGCTCTCGGACGTGAAGAAAAAAAAAACCTTTTTTTTCCTCGCTCTAGTACCTTGCTCTACGAACAACACCGTTCTTGGCGAGCTCTTCCTCGAGGAGCAATCTCTGGAGCTCCAGCGGTCTCAGCAGGACGTCGTGGTAGAAAAACTCTCGCCCCATCAGCTCCCCTGTCCACTGGCGAATCCGATAGCATCCCTTCTCGTGGAAGAGCTTTGGAATTGTGCACACCCCAATCTCCCTGTTGGCCGGGGTGTGCCCGATCGTCTCCATCGCCGCAATGCAGGCGGCCGGATCGAGCTTCGCGTAATCCATTGCTCCATCGCCGCTAGTCCCTCTGTATGCTCTCCGGAAGAGCGCGTGGAAATCTTGCTCGAACCAGAAGCTACCAATCCTGTTCGCGTAGAAGATTGGTACCTCATTCTCAGCATCGAAGAAAAATCGGAGACGCCGATCACTGCTGCTGCTGCTGCTGCTGCTGATCGATCGAGGCGATGCGATCGATCCGTGGAGCGCCGCTCTCACGACGCTGCAACGTCCCCATCCACAGCGCATGAGCCCTAACCCTAAATTTTAAAAAGTTGACTCGGGCAATCCGACGGCCCTGGGGGCGCCACGTGGGACTATGCAGTATACTAAGTTGGGCCACATCTCGCCGTTCTTTTAAACCAATGGACGACCAAAAGTGCTCCACGATAGGGGTTTCTCTTTACTGAATCTCCCTGTTCTACATTTTCGTGCGCGTGCGCTGATGCTCCTCCGAGAGGCGGCTCATCGTTTCCTCCGGATTTGCGCTGCTCGCGTGCGTCAATTCGCGATTTTTATGTGGTAAGCATTGCTGTCGGCGCCTCCGGTGATGGCATCTGAAGAGATTTCGCTGCGGCTGCCTCAGATCCGGCTGAATATCGCGACCTAGCGCGGAGATCCCAGATCCGGAGCTCCCGAGGGCCTGTTGGGTGTAGCGAAAATGGATTTGAAGAAGGCGCTGGATAAGACGGTCCGGAATATGTAAGTTTTGCTTGATTTTCTTCGAACAGTGGGGGGAATTCCTGGTGATGCCCAACATTTTTTTTGGTGTTGCAGGAAGAGAGAAGTGAACAAGAAGGTGCTTAAAGTTCCAGAAATCGAGAGAAAGGTAAAGGTCTTTTGGTTTTGGCTCTCGAGATCTTACATGTAGCGCTACATTTTTGTTTTCGAAGGTCTTAGAAGCGACTTGCAACGAGCCTTGGGGTCCTCATGGAACACTCATGGCTGATATCGCCCAAGCGACTCGGAATTTGTAATCGCGAAGATTGTTTTGCTTTTCACAGTGCTTGATCGCTTTTTGTGCTTTCCCTTCTTGCAGTAACGAGTATCAGATGATCATGACTATTTTATGGAAGCGTCTGAATGACCGAGGCAGGAACTGGCGTCATGTCTTGAAGGTAAGGTTTTTAAAGCATTTTTTTCCCCAATGCAAGCGAAGTTTTTTTGAACTTCTTGTTGTGTTTGTAACAGTCTCTGACGGTGATGGAGTTTCTTGTTGGTCATGGCGCTGAAAGATTCATAGATGAACTGCGGGAGCACACTTACCAAATCCAGGTTCGTAGCAGAACAAGCACAACTATTTCTAGTTCTTAGCCGCGTTGTTTTGCAGACTTTAGTCGATTTTCAATATGTGGACTCTAGTGGTAGGGACCAAGGACTTACTGTAAGGAGGAAAGCCCAGGCATTAGTTTCTCTTATAAACGACAAAGAAAAAATTCGTGAATTTCGTCAAAAAGCAGCTGCGAACAGAGACAAGTACGTAGATCACCCGTCAGTTGATTGTCACTCAATGCTTGCATATGCAGGTACCGTGGCGTATCTTCTGTTGGAGGGATTTATCGCTCGAGTTCTTACTCGAGCACTGGCGGTACTTATTCAGACCGTGACGACGATGATAGATATGGGGGTGGTCGCTATTCCGGAGATAGATACAGGGACGGGGATCGATATGACGACAGATACAGAGACGGAGACAGATACCGAGATGATGATCGCTATGGCCGAGACAGTGATCGTCCTTATTCCGACAAGTATGATGCCACTGATAGAGACCGTGGCTATGAGGATGCAAGGTATGCAACTTCAGTGCTTATAAGTCTTCCCATTCTGATTATGCAATTTGCAGAAGTAGTGGGAGCAAAGATGACGACGACTGGTATGTATGCAGTTGTCGTTATAATGCTTACTTATCCTCAATCGCGATTTCAGGAAATCCGAGAGAAAGCAGTCAAGAGGGAGGTCGAATCCCCCGAGCTATGAAGAGGTTTCTAGTCCGGCAAATGGATCTCAAAGCAAGGGGTATATACGTACTTAATGTATGCGTGCACCGGAGCTTACTTGCATATGTTGTATGTCAGCAGGAACGATACTGTTGCTCCTTTAGAGAGCCACGCTAAAAAAGAGGAAGAGTTACGAGAAGAAACCAAGACGGAAAGCTCTCCAGTTGATGAATTTGACCCACGAGGCTCCATACCCGGTATGTACTGCTCAACTTTGTGTTTCTTCTTTTTATTTTGTTGCCAGACTGATCACCTTTGTATAGGTTCTTCATCGGACCAAGATCTTTTTGGTCACGAGCCAAAACTGACATCGGCAGGAACTGCACCTCCGACATTTCTAAGTGCTGTCGAGGAGCTATTTGCTCCCACTAGTGCTCCCTTCGCGTTAAGCACCGTAAGTATGGGGACCGAATCGCAGCTCATGTTATAATCACGTGCTTTGGTGTTTAGGATCTTGACCCCTCGAATCCTTTCGGTACGCCAGAGTTTCACGCTAATGCTCCCGATGGCGCAACCAATGGTGTAGCGAATTCATTTGAAGACTCTCTAGCGTTGGCCCTTGTTCCACAGTCGCAGTACGAACAGGAATCTCAGCCTGAGTTGCCATCGCAATTGTCTTCTGACAATCCTTTCCAAGCGCAAAACAGTCAATCGCCGCCGCAGCAACTTCCACAGCAGCAGCAAGAGCAAAGCTTGCCTCAGCAACAATTCCATGCACAGCAACAGTTTCCTCCGCAGCAGTTGCAGCAGCAGCTTCCATCGCAGCAACAGTTTCCTCCGCAGCAGTTGCAGCAGCAGCTTCCTTCGCAGCAACAGTTTCCTCCGCAGCAGTTGCAGCAGCAGCTTCCGTCGCAGCAACAGTTTCCTCCACAGCAGCTACCATCGCAGCAGCAGTTCCCTCCTCAGCAGCTTCCACCCCAGGAACAGTTTCCTCCGCAGCAGCAAATGCCACCTTTCCGTCCACAGCAGCAACAACAGTTCCCCCCTCAGCAGCAGTTTCCCTTCCAGCAGCAGCAATTCCCTCAGCAACAACAACCGGCCTTCCAACAGCAGGCCCAGTCTTTCGTGCCACAGCCACCAACTTTCCGTCCACCGCAGTTTGCACAGACCGGTTTCCCGCAGCAGCAACAGGCGCAGTCGTTTCTTCAGCAGCAGCAGCAAACTCCAACTTATTCACAACCTTTTGCTCCACAGCAGCAGCAGCATCAACAGCAGAGTTCGGTCCCAGACACAACTCTGCACGCCAAGCCGAAGCAGCAGGAGCCTTTCCAGCCAAAGTCCGCGGTCTGGGCCGACACTCTCAGCTCGGGTCTCGTGAACCTCAACATAGGACCATGTACGTATGACATCTCTGCTTCTTTTTCCCCTCCAACTCACATTTGTTTCACTGTTTGCAGTAAAGAGCGATCCTCTCGCGGAGCTGGGGATCCACTTGACGGAATCCAAAGTCTCAGCTTCCAGAAGAGAAGAAAAGAAAACATCGTCCGTGCCAGCGACGAAAGGCCAGGCAATGGGGTCGGGCTCTGGTCTCGGGCTGGCTGGGGCTAGTATAATGCACAGGGCACCTCCGCCGCCACCACCCATCATGGGTGGACAAATGGGCATGGGCATGGGCATGGGCATGGGCATGGGCATGATGCCTCCACCGCCCATGGGAATGCATCCTGGCATGATGCCCATGGCGCCGCCCATGATGAATGGCATGGGCATGGGGATGTATCACCCATCGCAGCAGCAGGGAGGATTCAGGTAGAGAGAGTATACTGTGAATGGAGTGATTATTTTTTTGGATGATGTGAATAAAATAATTCTTGCAAATAAAACCTCTAGTAGTAACCACAACTAATTTCTTCACTTTTAAAACAATGCCTTTGTTTTGAAAAGTCGTGTATTTTCCTTAGAAAGTTATTTGCCGGTCACTAGAGGACGGCCAATTTGATCTCTCATGAGCCCAAGATTATTCCACACGTCAATTGTTTTGTATGTCCCCTTTGCTGTATAGGATGCTCAAGGTAACCCCTCTTTATTGTTGTTTTGCTTGATTCAAGGAGATTCCTATGCAAGTCTAGTTTCCCAGATTTGCGTCAATGAACCTTCCATGACAAACAGTCTTATCAGCAAAGTAATAATTAAGAAACCCTTGAACTTTGTCCTTTAAATTCAATTAACAATCCTCTTGTTTAGTTTAGAGCGAGAGGTGTGGACTGCCCAGCCAACTGATGCAAAGCATACCTTTGAGGGAGAACCACCCCCATTCAGACAGGTGAGCTATAGCATCATTACAAAAGCTTAAGCTATTTTGGCTGGTTAAAATCAACAGCTGATTGTATGAAGTGTAACAAAGCTCACAATCGGATAGATATTTTTTCGGAAGGCTGCTTATGCCTGAAATTTGATTTATTATATGTGGCTAGGATTAATTCATAGAGCACTCATGGGCGGCTTCCCTTGGAAGGATTCATCCAGTTTGGAGATATCACCAGCGCAAAGGTATATCGCACTTTCTGTTTTTACATTCTCTTCTTTTTCAATTATATCATGTATGACAATGGGCTATGGCCTCGTCACCTTTAGCAGCGAGACAGGCATGCGCAAGGCCATTGAGAAGATAGCCCTTGCCGGACACGGGCTACGAGCGCCACCCGCTAGAAGTGTTTGAAGCAAAACCAGGGAGGGCCTCTTGGAGCCGAGACTTGTGAGAGTGCGGGAGGTGTGGACTGCCCGGTCACAGCAAAAAGGATTGCAACACCATTCCTCCTACCGATCCAAAGCATGTCTTCGCGGGAGAGTTCAAGCGCGACCCATTCAGACCTGAGGTGAGTTAAAGTTCGTAATTTCTCCTGGAAGTTTGTAATCTCAAGGAAATGGAGTACACGCTCACCCGTGAGGACTGGCCCTGCGAGGCCCCGTCGCCTGTTTACAGCCAGAGATAATGCCGGCAGGTGGTGAGAACGTATTGGAAGATGAAGGTCCCTGTGGATCCAAAGCAACTCCAGGAGAGCGTTTTGAGAGCCTTCACTATCTTACCGCCTGAGGAGTACTTCCACAATGATGCGCCAAGATATGATGGCTCTTGCCGTGAGTTCCCTGGCCATGAGCGTAAGGGACTGGGACGTTTGTTCTCATAGATCGCGCTACTGAGTTGATTCTTTCACACCGAGCCCAAACACAAGATGCCTTCTCGTGCTCCAAGCGAAGACGTGTTACTGCCGGCACTTCTGGCCGTTTCACTTCTGGGCTGCTGCGTTCCACCAATGTCCATATCAACCAGGAGGATTGTCACAAACATGGATCCAGAACTGTAAACTGATTGCATGCTTTTCTGTGTTGTGGTGTTGCCAAAGTTGTGCCAACTTATAGTCTGGATACCTTGATATGAATGCATTCAAAGATCTCATAACAGTTGTAAGTTTCTCAAACATAGCTCAAAACGCGATCATGGCTGATCAAATAATGCAAATGCCTTTGAGCGCTTGCAACTCTACACAAGTCCAAAGGGTAACTGAAAACGCGTGATCTTTCCAAGCACCACCTCGATCCATCGAGACAATCGGCCGAAGCGAGCTGAAGGAACAACAACTCTCAAAGACAATCGTCTCACTCCAAGCCAAGTGTAGTATGGAATCTTCCCAAACACAAAATCCCTTCTCGCGGTAAATGCTCCAAGCGAAGTGGAACTTGTTCATAGCAGTAGAGCATTCTCTTCTTGCTGGCTCCTCCAGTTGTGGACGGCGCTCACGAAAGAGGCGATGCGATCCAAGTCCTTGGCAATCCCATCCGGCCCAGCAATCCCACTCGAAACGTCCACTCCACTCGGCCTCAGCAGCGAGATCGCCCTTCCCACATTCTCGGGCTTCAATCCTCCAGCCAAGAACCATCCTCTCTTCCCAACAAAGCCCAAGCCTGGCCGACTCAAGGATTCCCAATCGAAACTCTCGCCACTGTCAAGTCCCACAGAGAAAAAAAAGTTTGTTCTATCCAAAGAACACGCAAAAGATCGCATACCTTCCACCCTGAATGCTATCGATCAGTGTCCACTCCACGGGAGCCCCCGCCACAGGCTGTGGCGTTTGGATGGATCCATCCTTGCCGGCGTGAGCTACGTAGATCACTCGTAGCGATGACGAGGACGATGCGAGGCCATCGAGCGCTGCTCTAGCACCGGTTCCATGGAGCTGCCAGTGCCAATCTCATCATCCTGGAAGACTTCCCCAATTCCCTGGAGCACTGGCTTACCTGCGCGCAATCTAGCCCGGCCTCCCGGCACGAATCCGCGATCGTGTGCGCGTCCTCGTCCACGAAAACCCCCACCGGCACCGCGCCCTGCTCCCTAGCCGCGGCGGCGATCTCTCTCGCGAGGGAGATCGACACGGATCGCTTGGATCGCGGCCAGAGAATCATCCCAATGTAGCTCGCCCCGGCCGCCGCCGCGCGACTGGCATCCCCGGGTGTGGTGATCCCACACATTTTCACAACTGGAACGTAGTCGCGAGGAGGAGAAGATTCGCAGCACCGGATTGACAACCTAGACGCCGAGAAGCCCTTCCTGTCTGACGATCTCCTGGCTAGAGGATGGATGCCAGGAGCCGACAAGCTGCCTAGCAGCACTGCCATAGCTCAAGAACCCTAAACTTCAAATGCGATCGAATCAGGCGATTGCCCTAGAAAGTTCGTTGGGAATTTAGGGTTCTTGGTAAGTCACCATTCGTTTTCTCCCAAGGGAGAAAAAAAGAGAGAGAAGCTTTTTAGTTCTTTAGCTAGAGTGTTAGAAGGATTGCGAGGTTTTATAAGATCCTCGCCTTCTAGATAGGTACCAAGAGGCCATCACTGAATCATCCAGAGTCGTTCCTTCTTCTAAGCCCGTACCTCAGATCGATGTTGATACTTCGGTGGACAAAAACCAAAATGGGCCGAGAAAGAAATAACCACTGCCACTGCTACTGCTTTCGTTGCAACCGTGGTGCACGGTGCTGCGAAAAAGACGAGAAGAGCAGTGATCTCTAAATTTTGTGAACCCTTTATTTACTAGAAAACAAACGTCGGCCTGATAATCCTGGGGACCGGACGCAAAGAGCCATCAGCTCTGTCCATAGGATCGTGGAAGAACTCCCAGGGGCCATAGCGATCAAAGGCTTCCAAAACGCTCTCCTGGAGCCGATTTGGATCCACAGCGACCGTCATGTTCCAATACGTTCTCCTCACCTGCCGCCATTCTCTGTGGGTGTAATCAGGCGCCGGGGGCTCCCATGGCCAGTCCTCACGGGTGAGCGTGTACCGCATAACCTTGCACACACACAAGGAGGAGAGATGACAAACTTTCACGGAGAAATTGCAAGCTTTAACGCACCTCGGGTCTGAATGGGTGGGGCTTGAGCTCTCCCGCAAAGACATGCTTTGGATCGGTAGGGGGAATGGAGTTGCAATCCTTTTTGCAGTGGCCGGGCAGTCCACACCTCTCGCACTCTCGCGTGTCCCAGCTCCAAGAGTCCCTCCCTGGCATTGCTTCAAACACGTCTAGCGGGTGGCGCTCGTAGCCCGTGTCCGGCAAGGGCTTGCCGTTCATCTTCTCAATGGCCTTGCGCATGCCTCTCTCGCTCCTAAAGGTGACGAGGCCATAGCCCATTGGGAAGTTTTTCTCGTCACGCATGATCTAATTAATTGAGAAAAGAAGAGAATTTCAGAACAAAAAGGGCATTGAATCTTGTGATTTACCTTGGCGCTGGTGATATCTCCAAACCGGATGAATCCATCCAGGTCTCGTTGATCGGCATACCAGGGCAAGCCGCCCCAAGTGAAGCCGCCACCCATAACCCTAGCCACTGATCAACACAATTATGATTAACTTTTACATACTTATTTGTGGTAATGAGAATAATGTTACCTTTATTTGTATGGTCCTGCCCTAAATTTCAAATGCGAAGCTTTGCCCTAGAAAAAAGGAAAATTCGTTGGAAATTTAGGGTTCTTGGTCCATGGAAGGCGGGGGTGGAGCTGGCGATGCCGCCTTGCGGCTCTTCCGCGTGAGCGTGGATGTGCGAAGCTTCAAGGCGGGCGTGCGCCTGCCAATGCGCGCCGTGAATGCGTTCGTCAAGGTGGTGCTACCACCGGAGATCGTCAAGCTGGCCCTCGAGTCGGCCAATCCGGGGGGCAATGCGGCCAAGCTTACGGCGCCGCTGAGGAGCCATCCTCCTGTTCTCGTGGAGCGATGCAGCGAAGTCACCATTCCAAATGGGTGAGTCTCCTCTTCCTCGTAGGAAGAAAAGAAGAGAGATCTCTTCCCCGAGAGAAAAGAGAGAGAGAGAGAAACGCTTTTCCTTTAGCTCTTTGTTGTTTGTTTGAGTGTTAGAAGGATTGCGAGCTTTTATAATGATACACTTCTCTACAGATGATAATCTGGTGCTGCCAAACTGGTTTTCAGCTACGTTGCTCTGGAGCTGCCGGTTTCTGTGCTTGGCTTGGCTGCGACGCTGGCACAAGATCCTCATCTTCTAGCGGAAGTCTACCATCGCGATAGGTACCAAGAAAACAAATTCCTTTTTGGTTTCAAGCTCTTTGTTCTTCCACAGGTATGCAGCGGACAGCGTGATAGGAATTGCTCGAATCTCCATGGCTCCGCTGATGCACGACCCACGACTCGATGGCTACGTGACTGTGAGGAACGAGAAACAAGTAAGTTGAGTTGCATCCAGTTTTTGATCGCACTAATTGTAAGACAGGTCACGACTGGTTCCATCAGGCTCGTGCTCGCGACCGAGGAACTAGGACCCGTCCGTGGATCACAACACAAGCGCGTGGAAGGCAAGGAGCCATCACTGAATCATCCGTGTCCGGGGCTGGAAGAGTCGTTCCTTCTTCTCAAGAACAACATCAGCCAGTACCTCGGATCAAAGGCGGTGGCTGTGCAAACCGATACTTCGGCGGCCGAAGGAGCTTCCAAAAAGAATGGGCAGAGGAATGCCGAGAAAGAAAAGACCACTGCCACTGCTGCTGCTTCGACTGCTCCTGCCGTGCAGCACGAGAAGGCATCGGTTTCGTTCCAACCGGTTAGCAAAGACGTGGTGCACGGTGCTGCCAAAGACGAGAAGAGCGATGATCTCCGGGAGCACGTCGAGTACGAGCTGGCATGGGAGTTTGAGATGTGGCGGCGGTCGGAAGAAGCGAGATGGCGCGCGGAGCTCAAGGAGAAGGAAGTCGCGACGATCAAGGCCCTGGAAGAGGAGTCCAAGAGGAAACAAAAGGACCAAGCTGCTGCCTTGGACAAGGTTAGACTTGAGCTCGCTAATCTGGAAGCAAAGCTAAGGTAAGGAAGACAAAAGAACTATTGAGACTAGCTTTACTTCGTAGCGCCCTGAGAGTCCTTCTTCTTTTGTTCCAGGACGAAGCTACTAGCTGTGGAGAAACGAGATAGAACGCTGGTTCATGCCGAAGAAGAAGCGGCTTTGAGAAAGGAAGCCTTGCAACGAGAATGCGCACAACGAGTAGCAGATGTCGAGGTTTTCTCGCTTTCTTTCTTTTCACTTTTGCCAATGCTCAAATCTTTTGCTTGTGCGTTTCAGAATGTTGCCAAGAGAATGCAAGCCGACTACCAGCAACGAATCGAGATGGAGCACGGCAAGTTTGTGATGCTCCAGCAGCAATACGCTGCCGTGGAGCAGCGCCTGGCAAGCACAAGCGCGACGCTGGCCGCGGTGGAAAAGGAGTTTGCGGCCTACAAATCCGCACAGAGGCTATCCTCCGAGGCCGACCTCGCAGCCCAGATCCTAGTCCTCAAGCACCAGTGCCATGAACTGGAAAAGAAAGCTGACGCAGCCGAAAAGACCCGAGACGAGTACAAAGCACAGGTATCAAGAAAGTTCCGCCACCTTTTCTCTTTCCTTTTGACTCAATAGAGGGAGGAATTTGCTCACAGGTGATACGGCTGGCCAAAGAACTCGCAAACATGCGCAAGCGCTCGCAAGAGCCACCGCCCCCGCGGCCTAGCAGCGGCAGTCGGGACACGACGGCTCTCACGGCAATGCTCCAGGAACATCTTCGCGCAGCTAGCCAAGACAAGCTCGAGCTCAAGCAGCTGAAAGAACAAGTAGAGCGCCTCCAGCAACAGGAGCAAACGGCTCTCACGGCCGCCGCAGCTGCCGCCGCTGCTGCTGCCACCGCTGCTGTATCACGACGCCAAGTAAATACCGAGGCATTGAGCAAAGAGGCCACTGCCAATGCCAAAGAGAGCGAACCTGACGAAAGCAAGCACGAGACCAAGGAGCACAAGGAAGCTGTGATCCCGGCAACCAGTCATCCAGTAGCTGCCGAGCCCGAGCAACGCAATCCAGTGCCTCAAAAGCCTCCACTGCCGCCGCCGCCACCACCACCACCAAAAGGAGAGCTTTACGAGAGACTAGCAGCGATGGAGCACATAGTTGCTCCTTCGTTTGACGATAGCGAGCCCTTCCTATCACAGATAACTGCATTCCAGAGGTCTGAGATAGTGAGGCTCACCAAGCAGAAGGCCGACTTACTGCAAACGGGAGTCTACACCGTCCACGACAGGATAATCCGGGGCCTCGACGAGGAGATTAGAAGGCTCCGGTCGATTGACACCGCGGGGCTCTGCTCGCGGTAACAAACCGTGCGTCATTAGCGAGAAAAGAGAGAGTGAGTAAACACAGATAGAAAGTCACGCTTAAAAACCAGTATGAGCGCTGCTACATTTACACAAAAATGGGTACATACCTTTCCTCGAGAGGAAACAGAGAACCTGGAAGCTGAGAGATTTAGAGGTATATGATGATAAATTACCGGTACTCTTTCAAGAGATACATGGACGGACTGAATGGATCCAGCAGCCCCGCCGCAGCAGCTTGGCCCGTGTCGTCGGCTGCCAGTGGTCCGCGGAGCAAGTTCGTCAGGTCCATGTTTGGCGAGCAAATCTCCGCTTGGAAAGGCTGCAAGGCAGATTACTACTTAAGCCAAGTTGGGAAAGAGATGTAGAGAGAAGGACGAGCAAAACTTACGAGGAGCCAACTTAGTAACGATCCCGAGGTGCCCCCTGCGTTGTCATCCGACTCTGTCATGTTCTCCTTGGAGTCGTGAGAGAAAATGTTTTCATCCATTCGCATCTTACGAAGTGGAATGGGGGTGACCGCGCTTTCAGAGGACGGTACCTTGGCCAGCACCTCCTCAGCTTCCGAGTAAGCTGTGGCGGCATGCTCGCTCAGGTGCATCATAATGCCCAGCGCGTCGTCTCCTCCACCATCCATTGGTAAATTCATCCCCTGCTAGAAAGAACGTTAGCGAGACTCTCTAAATCCTTGCAAGAAAATCTTTGCACACCTGAAGAAGTGAAGGCGAGCCATCCTTTCCCAAGGAGAGGAACGAATCAAGCCTCCACGGAGACTTCGAAAGTGGTGACAAACCGCTGAAGAAACGATCACTGCACGCATTCCGGTTAAAACTGTACCAAAGAAAGAAAGAAAGAAAGAAACATGACTTGCCATTTATTAGCGGAGTTCAGTGTGCTCTGACCCAAGACGCCAAGCCGGCTAGGAGTTTTGATCGTCAGCTTTGCTTTTCCCTTCGCTTTATGGGGTGGCGGTGATTCTCCAGGATCCAACAGAAGAGGCCGATCAGAGGACGATGTTTGCTGCTGACAAAATGTCATAAAAACAATACAAACAGGGCAGTAAGAGGAGAGTAGAATACCTGGACTTGTTGCTTCTCGCTTGAGGTATCACCACCATCGCCAAGTCTTCCCCTCTTCGACTTAACCTCTCCTTCTCCACGAGCAGATTCCTCGGAGTCGCCTTTACTGCACTCTGCGTTGATATCAGCGGTGCATGCCTGGAAGTGCTGCCTGAGTCTTCGAAATTCGTCCACTCCAATATCATTTGCCTCTGATATTGAAGACAACTTTGAAGAAACGTTGTAAGGAGGAGACAGTAAAACCGCGTTGCCTTCCGCTTTGCTGGCCGCATTCCCAGCATTATCCGTCAGCCTTGGCTCTGCAAACTTGGCTCCGTCACCACCACCAGCCTGCGAAGGACTCAAGAGCTGCCTCGGTCTCTTTCGCAATATAGAAGGCGTTCCTCCAAAACTCTTTGCAGCAGACCTCAGCTTTTCTTGGGGACTGGTGAAGCTGGATGGAGAGTACGTGAACGGTGTTGTACAATTCACGAACGGCATTATCATCTGTCTCACCCCGAGAGGACTGTATTCTTCATGCGCACTGCTGAGGTCATAGTTCATAAAAGGCAAGTCCGAGCTGGCCAGGCGAGGCGGTTCGTAGAAAAGAAGATCCTGTTCGGTATTTTCTTGTGAGGCATCTGCTTTGGTAGTCCCTTCCCCGGCACTTTCTTCGAGCTTCATCTCGTTCAGCGATGAGAAAACCGGTTCAAAGTGCTCAACCATATTCTGATCCTGTCCATATGCCGCTGCAGATGGTTCTGTCGCAGTCGAAACGTCGAGCGAGTTGGACTGAGCTAGATCTTCCGTTGTAGGCTGACTGGCTGCGTCCATGGAGCACTCTCCCGACAAATAATACGCAGGATACAATCCCGAAGGTGGCTGAGAAATCGGTCCGGGTTCCGTAGACGCAATCCTTTTCTGTCGAAGCGATGGATCAAAGCCGGGAGCCAGAGGAATTTTGGGATGCGGAGGCCTTGGGACCGCTTGTGCCTGCTTAGCCTCCATTTGAAGTTGATAGTCTGCGAGGGCTTTCGAAATCGGGTCATTTGCAAGTGCTGGATCAACCTTCTTCTTCATGGTACTGTTCCAGTGATTCTTGATGGAATTGTCCGTCCTGTAAATGCGGAAGTCAGGCCGATTATTCAACAGAAGCAGGAGTACCTACCTTCCGGGTAAAAACTTCGCTATCTCGGCCCATTTGTTTCCGTAGCGTTGGTGTGCATAAATTAGAGCAAGATCTTCCTGTTGAGTCCAAGCATCCCTTTTGATATTAGGATTAAGATGGTTGTGCCATCTCTCTCGACACTGCTTTCCGATCCGTCCAGGCAAGTTTTGCGCAATGACTGACCATTTCTTAGCACCATACTTGTTCACCAGCTCAATTATCCTATCATCCTCCTACAAAGAACCAAAAATGAGCAAACTTCACGGCCAGTATCAACTAGTTGTTGTTCTTCTCACCTCTTTCGTCCACGGACCCTTCACAAGGTCGGGGTTTAAAACCTTTTGCCACCGATGCAAGCACTGCACATCGGTACGATTTTTGAAAAACGCGGCTGGAAACAAACCAAAGACGCCGTTGAGCACAGAATTGAAAGCATCAGATCGACACAACATACCAATCTTTTTCCAATTCTTCGACTTGAAACATTGCACAGCTCGTCTCAGAACATCATCCTGGAAGAAGAAATAAAATTAGATTAAAACACAAAAGTCCTGGAAGAACCAAACGGTACTAATGGATAATTCAATCACCTCGTCAGCGGTCCAGCCTCCTTTGGAAGATCTCCTCGTTGGCCCGCCAATTCGCCTGGACAGAATCCCAAAATCAAGCCAATTCACGAGAAATCCAAGCCATACCCCTGCACCGGAGGCAATTGATTCGTCGCATCGTCGTCCGTGTCCGCTCCAGAGGAACAAATGGAGGAGTGGGGCGGATCATCAGTCGTGCTGTTGCTGCCTTTGACCTTGCTCGATGCCATCTATCTGCTACTGCTCCTAATTGCGATTTCTACCATACCTGTTGGAAATCTATGCCCCGGCTCAAGTAAGCTGCAAAGATCTATGCTGGAAATCGAAATCCAAGGCCCCGGGACACCCGCGCCAAGGCCCTAGCCGCAATCTCAGCTCCCAGCAGGCGCTACAAACCCTAGAACCTCCATGGCGCCCCATGCTCGCTACCAAACGAAACCCTAGCTCCTTAGCTCGCGTCCATACCTGGCGGATCTAACGGTGGAGATTCGAAAGATTGAGGGACGGACGGTGGATCCGAGTGCCCACAGAACGGTATTTGCTTGATGGGAAGGGCGGTGACGGGCAGCGACGGGCGGCTTTCCAAAGGCCTTTGACGGGCAGTGGCAATTTTGGCAACGGTTACCTGCCGGCCGGGATTAATGGCCGGAAAGCCCAAACGCACGCGTGACCGCTTTGCCGGCGTGCCGGGAAGTGCGACCGGCGACACATATTCGCCTGGGTTAAATTTTCAAATTTTACTCCTGTCGCCTTTCAAATTTTGGAACGTTGGGGGGGTTTGGTTAGGCCAAAGGCATCGCATTTAAGCTAAAGCTAATCCGAGTTTAGAGCCTGGAGCTGCCGCTCTAACTCTTCTAGATCGTTATCTTGAGCTGCGGCTCCACCAACAAATGCCTCATCAAGTTTGCGAAACGCATCGTCCGCGTCTGGGAGCTCTCGCAGAAATCCCTCGGGAAGAATCTCTGCACACATCGCCAAAGTATGAGATTTCCCTTGCAAGATCTCTGGAGGAGAAAAGGAATGAGAAAACGAAGAACTTACGCGAATTCGGCGTCGTTTGAGCATCCAAAAACACGTCTTTGTCGTCGTCGTCGTCGTCCATTACGCTGCGATGAAACCAAACAGGAGGAGTAAACCCGAGAGCGCAAAACCAAACAACGAAGAAGAAACGAGAAGAAGAAAACTTACGTGATGTTCCACTCGTTGTCCTCGTGAAGGGGTGCAACATCCTGTACGGCTCGATCCGCCTCGGCTTTGGCTCTCGCAAGAGCGTCTCTCTCGGGCTTCTTTTTCACGTATTCATGCTGTACAGAAAATTCAACACATCTCTCGATCGGTCGACTTTGCTTTCCTCGTAATTAATGCCTACCTGACGCTCCACACAGGCAGCATTTGTGCACTGGGTATTGGGCTTCATTTCCATCGTTGGAAAGAAATCCTTGAGTGCGCTATAGCCCTGATATACGCAGCTCTTTAAGAACTGGATAGCGAAGAGAAGTAAATGATCCACTTACCAGGTATCTCGACACTTGTCCAAACTCCAACAGATATTTGAGCGTACTTTGGACCAGTAAACCCGCAACAATTCCCTGCAAAACATTCCAAAGGGTCAAGACGGAGACGAATGAAACCGTAACCGCAATAACACCATCGTGGTTGGCAAGGAAGCAGCACAGACTCCCTCACGTTTAAGCGTTCGCTCATCAATTCCAGATGCGACCACCTGAAGCCACGCATGAATGCAAGGAATAGAAAATCTGGAGAGTCTTACCAGCGGGGGTGCACAAGCAAAACAGGCTGTTTCGCCAGGAATCAAAAGCTGTATATGACCAGAGACAGCATCCTCAGAAACTCCTGTTCCAAAAATTATGTGGCTCCACCTTGAAAAGATGTATTAGCTTTACCTGACTCTATCCAAGTTTGCCCAAGCTCGTTGCAGGCCTAGCACAAGGAAACATTAGAAAAGCTTCAACACAAAACAAAGAAAAAAGCTTTACCTGATTTACTACCATACGTGCTTCGTAGTTGTCCACACAACTAAGAACGAGATCAACTCCACTCGGAGAAGCACTCGATTTCTCCTTGAAAGGTCGTGCAAGACTCTCCATAAAGCTCCCGAATCCTTCCACTGTCGTAATGTTGAGCTTATACCCCTGCAGCAGGCTGGAGAGCTTTGGTCATTTGGTCATTACCAGAAAAGCTTTACCTCCAAAACAACATCCGGATTGATGCTGGTCAAGGTTTGCACGGCAGCATCCGTTTTCGATAGGCCTGCCTAAAACGAAGAACACAGAAGAGGAACTCAGAAGATCACTCACAACGACAGTACTTGCTCAGGACGGAAGAAAAGACGATTCATGTTGGCGAGTTCCACAGTGTCGTAGTCATAGAGAAGGAGGCGGCCTATTCCACATCTAGTGAGCATCTCCGCTGCAACACTTCCAACTCCTCCAACACCCTGAGAAAAAAATAAAGAGAAGAGTTTGACAAGCTCAAGAACAAGGAAAGATAATGCTCACCACAATCGCTACTGAAAATTCCCGAATTTTCTCATAGTTATTCACTATTCCCATGCGTTTGAGAGCCATCAACCTGCTGTAAGGATTACTTCCCACGACCTCGGCACTCATGTTCTAACCAAAGAAAGAATCACGCGACAATAAACGCAAAGAAAAAGAATTTCACACCTGAATTTTCTGTCGAGCAGGCAGATCTGGATCTCTCTGCGACAAAACATCCAATTTCTCCACATTCTTCTTGAGCTACACGAACAAAAACGCTCTAATCTCTTTCTAGATCAAAAACACATACGAACCTGATTGATCGATTCGCGGAGTAGATCCGAGGACGCTGCCGCGGGATCGGCGAGAAGATCGTCAGCAGCATCGATGAGCGCCTTGAGCTTGCTGCCAGACGCCATGACAAAGAGAAAAGGGGGAGAGGTTTACAATTAGGGTTAGGGTTCCTGGCGCTTGGAATGGGCTCCGCGATCATCAGGTACTCGCCTAGATCTTAGCACAGGAATTCTCGAGCTTGGGAGGGATTTCGATCGAGCAAGAACGATGTCAGTCTCGGCGGGAGTGACAGACGTCGCCATAGCCGTGAGGGAAAAGCTGCGAGGGAAGATCGGCCAGACCAAGGTCCAGCGCTACTGGCCGGGCAAGAAGCCAGAATGGGCGGCCGAGGAGGAGGAGGAGGAAGAAGAGGAGGAGAATTTCGAGAAGAAGAAGAAGAAGCCGGAGCCAGAGAAATCGAAAGCTCCGGTGGACGAGAAGGAGGTTGCTGCCGCTAGACCCGCTGCGAGGGTGGAGGATGATCCTCGGCTCCGGCGGCTGGCCGAGAGCCGGAGGAACCGCGATGAGGCGGTGGCGAGGCACAGGGAGATCCGGCAGGCGGAGATCGTGTCCACCCGCCAGGAAGAGAAGTCGGGCGCCAGAGATGCTGGAGCGGAGGAGGTGGAGGACGAGGAGGCGGTGGAGGAGCGGCGGAAGAAGAACAGGGAAAGGATTCTACAGAAGCAAAAGGAGGAGGAGGAGGCCGCCGCTGCCGCCACGGAGGAGGATGAAGAGGATGGAGAAGAGGAAGAAGACGAGGAAGACGAGGAGGAGGAAGAGACCGACTCGGAGGACGAGCTGGGAGGGATGCCGATGATGAAGCCAACTTTCGTGAAGAAGTCCGACCGGGAGACCATCGCGGAACGCGAGCGGCTCGAGGCGGAGGAGATTGCAATGATGGAGGATTGGAAGAAGAAGCTGGAGCTGCGGAAGATCGAGTCCAAGCACCTCCTGGTGGAAGAGATCCGGAAGGAGGAAGAGCGCGAGAAGAACAAGGTGACGGACACGAATGGTGACGAAGTTAACACCGACGACGAGACCAACGGGCAAGAAGAGTACGAGGCCTGGAAGGCGAGAGAGATCGCGCGGATAAAGCGAGAGAGGGACGAGAAGGAGAACGCCAACAAGGAGAAGGAGGAGATCGAGAGGCTGAGGAAGATGAGCGAGGAAGAACGCAAGGAGTACGATCGGAAGAACCCAAAGGAGGCCCCGGCTCCGAAGAAGAAGTGGAAGTACATGCAAAAGTACTATCACAAGGGAGTGTTCTTCATGTCCGACGACAAGGATCCGGCTGTTCCTGGAGGGAACGACATTTACAAGCGGGACTACTCGGAGCCGACTGGAGAGGACAAGCTCAACAAGAGCATACTCCCGAAAGTGATGCAAGTCAAGAACTTTGGCCGCAGTGGGCGAGTGAAGTGGACGGATCTCGTGAACGAGGACACGACGCGATGGGACACGCCGTGAGTTTGTTCTTCCCTCGCCTTTGATTCGTTCTAATCGAAGTTTTTCCGGCCTTTCAGGTGGAGCTCCAATGACAAGTTTCGTGCGCAGTACAACAACAAGATGGCCGGGATGAACAAGCCGATCGAGAAGCCTCGGGGCACCAAGAAGATGAAGAGGAGCATCGAGGAGATGTACAAAGTTTGACGAGCAATCGTTTCAAGGGCCGAGCGAGCGAGCGAAAGAGCGCTCTCACAGGTTTGAGATGATGGAGCTATCAGGGTCCGAGTTGATGGTTTCCAGGATCTCTCATACACCGAAAGGAAGCCACCGACGTTTCGGCCTTGACAACTTAGAGTCGAGTGAAGAGCCTGTGTGTGTTTCATCGTCATCAGTAGAACGTAAGAGTTCCTCCTCTTCATCCTTTGTCTCGGGGCATGGAGTTTGAGAGTTCTCGCTTTGACCCCCCTCTGTATCAGTTTCTATAAAACTTCGATCCACCGAGAGGCTTTCCTCAGCTTTTTCACTCTCTTTTCCAGGAGATTCGTCATCATTCCTTCCAAAACTTTGGTGGCTTTCGTTGTCCCCATCATGAAAGTCATTCTGTAAGAGTTTTTCATCATCGCCCACAGCTTGCTCGTCCTGTTCCTTTCTCAAGTCGCCGTCCAGGTCGTCACAGTCTCTTGCAGAGCTTTGATCCGGCATGAGACTTCCATCATGGCTACCAGCTTGTTCATCTTGTTCCTCCCTCTCTGGACTGTCACCATTCCTCGGGCCTGGACTTTCAACAGCGTTTCCAGCTTCTTGCTTGCTGCTGCTGCTGCTTCCATCTTCCTGGACCAACTTTAGCAGCTTGCCAGACTCGTCCGACTTGCGAAGTCCGTCCAAGATCGCTGTGAAAGTAGCAGCATGAGGAGGAGAGCCGCCAGCAGCCATCTCCTGTAAAAGCTCCTGGGCCTTCTCAGTCTTCCCGGACCTCACCAGGCCATCAAACAGCGAAGCGGATGTGACGGCAGTGGGAACGTTGCCTCTGGAGATCATGTCCTCGAACAGCTTAAGCGCCGCGTCCACTTTCAAAGCCTTGCAAAAGCCGTGGATGAGAGCGTCGTAGATCATGACGCTTCCAACAAGCTCGCCCCGAGCAAGCATGCCCTCGAACCTGTGGAACGCCTCGTCGACGTTCCCGGCATGGCACAGCGCCTGGACGAGTGCCGTGTACGTAGCAACCGTCGGCTTCTGGCCTTTGCCGATCATCTCGTCGAAGAACTTGCAAGCGTCTTCCAGTTTCTTCCCCTTGATCAGCCCGTTGATGATGCAGCAATAGGCAGCAGCGTCCGGAGCACCACCCTGGCGGACCATCTCTTGGAACAAGCTCACTGCTCGATCGACTTGGCCTTGATAGCACAAGCCCGTGCATAGAGCAGTGTAAGCCACTACGTCGGCGTTCCAACCCCGGCTAGACGCCTCCTCGAGCATCTTCACAGCTCTGTCAACTTCGCCAATCTTGCACAGGCCGATGCAAAGCGGGGTGTAAGTCACGGCGTCTGGCAAGTAGCCAACCATCTCGAGGTCGTGGAGCAAAGCGAATGCCCGCTCCACTCGGTTCTCTCGGCTCCTGCACAGCCCGTTGATCAGGATGTTGTAAGTCGTTGCGTCGGGCTTGCATCCTTCCGACACCATTCTCTGGAAAATCCTGCAAGCTTCGTCGAGCCGGCCGGTCTTACACAACCCGACGATGATGCTGCAGCACAGGCCGGGATCCAAGTTTTCTGCTGCGGCTTTGCTCTGCTCGAATAGATCGTCGAGTGTATTCTCAACGCTGCCACCATCGCACAGTCCCTTCACAAGTGACGAGTAGAGCTGTAAGTTTGGAGAGCTGGAGCATTTGTCAAGCTCGTCCAAGAGCTGGGCAGCCTCGTCGAGCCTCCCGAGCTTGCAGAAGCCATCGAGAAGGCAAATGTACGTCACAGAATCTGGAAAACATCCATGAGCTATCATCCCTTTCATAATCCTGAAAGCATTGGCCACTCTCCCGATCTTGCTGAGGCCCTGGATGATCGTCGTGTAAGTCACCACGTTTGGCTTGCACCCGCCTCGCATCATCTCCTCAAAGCTCTTTGCAGCTTGCTCAAAGTTTCCCGACTTGCACAGCCCGTCTATCATAACCGTGTGGGTGATCACGTCTGGACGGTACCCGGCCTCCACCATTTCGTCAAAGAGAGAGCAAGCCTCTTTCATTCTTCCCGACTTTGCAAATCCGTGGATGAGAGACGTGTAGATGACTGAATTCGGCCGAAAACCACTAGCTGCCATCACTCGGAACAGCTCCTCGGCCCGTTCCAAGGTTCCTGCCTTGCAAAGACTGTTCACCAGAATCCCATACGTGACTTCTGTTGGAACACAAGCTTTCGCGAGCATATTGTCGAGAACCTTGAGAGCTTCTTGTGCATGGCCAGCTTTGGCGAGCCCGTCGATCATTGTGTTGTAAGCAATAGCGTCGGGAGGGAAGCCACACTTCTCCATCTGTCCGAAAACCTCTCGAGCTTCCTTCACTCTTTTCGCTTTGAGCAGCGTTCTCACCATCGCGGTGTGAAGTGCCCGATCCGGAGGAACGAATCCCATTGCCATCATCTCGTGAAAAACCTCGAAAGCCTTCTCGTCCATCCCAGCCTTGCACAGGCAATCCACAAGGATGAGAAACGTATGCAAGTCGGGCTTACACCTCTTCCTCTTCATGATCTCGAAGCACGTCACAGCGTCGTCGGCCCGGCGCGTCCTGGCGAAGCTCCGGATCAAGATGTTGAAGGAGAAAGTGTTGGGCGCGATCCCGGCCTTGAGCATCTCCTCGTGGATCGCGTAGCACTGCGAGTAGTTCTTCTCGGCCACCAGGAGATTCATGAGGCAATTGTAAGTGAAGACATCGTGCTGGAATCCCGCCTGTTCTCCAGCCCATCGGAAGAAACTGATAGCCGTCCCAGTGACCTTGAGCGATCGCAGCACCGCTGCGACGTGGGATCCAAGCACCTGGCCGTGGACGGGGCCGAGCACGTTGCGGATATTATGGACCGACCAGGAGCTGCCGTCGAGCCTCACGTCCTTGATCGTCTCCACAATCGAGGTCACCAGATCAGCGCGACGCACGAAATCGGGCGTGAGGTGCTCGCGCTCTGGCTTACCGCTGGGGAAGCTCCTGGCGGTGTAGTGGCGGACAATCGCTCGTCCTCCTCCTCGATCAAGCAGCAGCAGCCATAGCTCGCGCTGCCGCAAAGACATAAAAACCTAACCCTTGGTGCTCATAGCTCGAATGTATCAGTCCGCGCTCTCCCTGCTAGAATGTAGCCCTCTCCGCAGAAAGGTATAAAGAAGCATATTCCTGTCCTAAACCCTAAACCCTATGAACAAATATCTTTTTAAGAATATGCCAGGCAAAAGAAAAGAAGCATAAATATTGTTAAGAATTTTTTTTATATTCCTACAATTTCCAATCTGCCTAGAACCAGAATGCAATGAGGCTTTAGATGCATTTGGCCTCACGAGACAGACTTGCATTTGAAAGATCTTGTGTAGACATTTCGAAAGAGAATCAACATGGGCAGATAGCAAATTTTCTATTGCCACAACTTAGCCTTTGAGGATTTCCCAGCTCCGAGAGAATGACTCCATAGCCACAATGGCTATGGAGAAAATATTTGGACAATTTTCTTTAAAGGAACTCTGGGTTTCCCCTGG